GGGGAGCCCGCAGAGGCAGAGGCGGGGGCGGGGCCGAGGCTGAGGTCGATCGCCCCCGACACCCCGGGGAGGGGCGTGGTGGCACCCGGCCACCCCCGGGGTGACGTGCGTCTGATCTAGCCCGCCACCCCCATGCCCACCTCCCCGCGTGGGTGCCCAGGCCCACTACCCCCCTGCCCCCCTCCTCCCGCCCTGGGTCCGCTGGGGAGGGGGCAGGTCTGCCGTGCCCAGGTTAGTGGGTGCGACAGGTCACGCAGGTGGCCAGACTCAAAGTTTTGAAGGATGAGTAGGAGTCCGTGGGCTGGAGACCGGGAGGTGCGCGGATTCCAGCCAGGTCTAGGGGTTGACGCCAAGCTCTGTGGCGCTCCCTCGCATGGTCCCCACCCCTGCCCAGTCTCTCCTCCTCCCAGCTTGGGAGCCTCCGTTTTCTCCCAAATAGATGGGAGCCTCTTTCAGGGCTGAGGGCCGCAGCTCCCACACTTCTGTCTGAGCCTCTACTCTTCTATAACGTGGTTTTAAGAGAGACTGTGTGGAAGCTTGGGGGACATTACAGAGAGGAGCCCACGGGGGCCCTGGCACAGGACACGAGCCAGCGATGGAGGGGGGTGTCCATGCAGAGAAAGGGGTCCTGCCACAAGGTGAGAACAGGACCCAGGTGAGAAGTAGACATGTCCTGGGTCCCTCCAGGGCTGGGATCTGTGTCTGTGGGAATCAGGCGAGCCCCCTCCCCATGCAGGACTGAGCCACCAGGATGGGATCATAGGAGGTGGCTGCCAAAGCACCCGCCAGGCCCATGCCTGGATGCCTCCCCTCACTTCTCACCAGATTAGCTCCTCCTGTTGCTGTGAGACCCACCTCTGCCATCCAGCAGTAAGCTCTGGAGGTGCTGGTCAGCCCATAGCTGTGGTTGGCACCTTTTCTCAAAACCTTGCCCGTCGCTTCTAAAAGACCGGCAGCTCCCTGCGAGTAAGGCCCTGCTTTATTTCTGTCTGGATCCTCAGTGCTAAGCACAGTGCTTGGCATACAGTAAAAGCCAAACATTTGTTTGAAGGGTGGACTGAACCGGGTGCTCAATTATGCTGCGTTGAGTGAAGTCAAGTGAGAGGGTGCTGATGTGCGCTTAGGGTGGTCCTCACCCCCTGCCCTTCGTCTCGTGCTGTTTGGACCAGGGGAGATGGCCAGCTGATCAAAGTGACTGATCTTATTTATTTATTTTTTAGATTTTATTTATTTATTTGAGAGAGAGAGAACACAAGCAGAGAGGAGCGGCAGAGGGTGAGGGAGAAGCAGACCCTTCGCTGAGCAGGGAG